CTGTTTCTCCTCCCCACCCCCCATGGTGGAGCATTATTTGTGTGTGTAAAGTTTCTCTAGGAATGATACTTACCATCCAGGCAGATTGACCTTTTTTAAAAAATATTTTTTTATTAATATCAGAGAGGAAGAAAAAGGGAGAGAGAGATAGAAATATCAGTAACGAGAGGGAATCATTGATTGGCTGCCTCCTGCATGCCCCCTACTGGGGCTCGAGCCCACAACCCAGACCTGTGCCCTGACCGGAATCGAACCATGACCTCCTGGTTCAGAGGCTGATCTTCAACCACTGAGCCATGCCAGCCAGGCCCGATTTACCTTTTGTTATAGCTTGTCTTCCTTACTAGATTTTTTTCTTTTATTGTCATGGAAAGTTTCAAGCATATACAAAAGTAGAGAGAAAAAGCAAACGAACCCTCTCAGATCTATCACCTAGCTTTAGTACTTCTCCATATTTTGCCAACCTTATTTAATTTATTCCCCCATTTTTTAAAAATATATTTTATTGATTTTTTACAGAGAGAAAGGGAGAGAGATAGAGAGTTAGAAACATCGATGAGAGAGAAACATCAATCAGCTGCCTCCTGCACATCTCCCACTGGGGATGTGCCTGCAACCCAGGTACATGCCCTTGACCGGAATCGAACCTGGGACCTTTCAGACCGCAGGCCAACGCTCTATCCACTGAGCCAAACCGGTTTCGGCTTATTCCCCCATTTTTGAGGTGGGGCTGGCCTATTTGAAAACAGATCACAGATATTAAAGTCTAAGAAAGGATTGAAATAGTCTCTGAGTGTAAGGCAGTGGTTCTCAACCTGTGGGTCGCGATTCCTTTGGGGGTCGAACCACCCTTTCACAGGGGTTGCCTAAGACCATCGGAAAACACATATATAATTACATGTTGTTTTTGTGATTAATCACTATGTTTTAATTATGTTCAATTTGTAACAATGAAAATACATCGTGCATATCAGATATTTACATTAGGATTCATAACAGTAGCAAAATTACAGTTTTGAGGCAATTTAAATTATTATTCAACGAAAATAATTTTAGGGTTGGGGGTCACCACAACATGAGGAACTGTATTAAAGGGTCGCGGCATTAGGAAGGCTGAGAACCACTGGTGTAAGGACTTTACCTCAGTTCCCTTTGTCTTTCCTTTGTATGCCCAGCACTATGCCTCAAAATAGCAGGTGCTCAGAAAAGACTGGTTGAATTGAGAAGAGGAAACACAAAATTATGACAACATTATTTTTGAACTAACTCTAGGGCAAACTTCTAGAAAGGAAAAGGGTGGCGAGTCTTGCCTTAAAATAACTTCTTTCATGTTACCGGAATTTGTTTTCTCC